GTTTAGCGGCCCTCAGTCCTTTCATGAAGCAGCTTCCAGGTTCAAAAGGGCTTCGGGTTTTAAGGTTTAGGGGTGAGATTTCCGTGTTATCATATTATTCTCCCGGCTACTCCAGAGCTTCTTAAGGTTGATTTGGCTCCGTGTTGAGGGTTCAGGTTTAGGGTTGGTTCGACATATTATATAGTCATCTAAGTTTACGTGTACATATAAAGCAAATAAAGATTTTTGCATATATCGAAAGACTGGCAGCCTGCAGTTGCCCGCCCTTTGTCCAAAATACCCGTAAACCCCGACCCTGAACCCTAAACCCCAAACAGCAAACCCCAAACCCTAAACCCGAAACCCGAAACCCTAAACTACACCTTGAAATCCAACAGTTCGAAAACATCCGCACCAGGTCCGGGAGCCATGGTCCCTGGTCTCGTCCGCCTAAAAGAGCCCTAAGTTTGATTGTTTTGAAATTCTGCAGAACTGGGACATGGTCCCGGGTTTAGGGTTTCGGGTTTAATTAGGGTTTAGGGTTTTGAAGTTGCATTTGTCTGGTTTTGTGTTGGAACCGGGGTATGATCCGATTGCTGTCTATTTTTGGAAGTTGTTGAATTTTGGAATTTTCAGGACTATTGGAAGAGAATGTCTGGAATCCTCTTGTCCCTCCGAATCAAACTCTTGAATGAATATGTGGATTTCGAGGAATTCGAAAGAAACATCGCTATGTACGAGTAAAGTAAAAGGAGGTTGGTCCTCCACATACATATATCTATATCTATATACACGCTTATATATATATATGTATATATACACATTTGTACAGTATGTATATATATATATACAGATACATACATAGAGGACCAAAAGCCATCTACGACTCACCTTTGAAGTGGCCGCAAGAACCGTTTTGAATTGCTCGGCGAGCCCGTGCAACTCACAGTATCTCAATCCTCCTTCATGGGGCAGAACTAGCAACATCCCCCTCATGAAGGAGAAGTCTTTGAGCTGGTTGGTGGGGCTCCTTAGGTATAGTCGCCCATCTAACCCTGCCCTTACATAACTAGGACCTTCCTTACCCTCTAGTTAGACGCTAAATCGCACAAACTGGTTGTGAGGCCCTTGACGACATGGACTGAGAGACCAGCTATGATGCGATAGCCCCCACCCATGTTGTCCGCAGAACGATCTTTAAAAAAGTCGACAAGTGGGCAGTTCTCCAAAATGCGCTCCTTTTTGGGGGTAGTTAGGGCAAGAGGGAGCATAATTAATTTAGAACGCAATCATGTGTGGCCTTGGCTACGGGGCGTTTAGGGAAGCTGTTGCTGTAGCAATCCTGCATAGACTCGACACGGTTGGTCTCCTCATGGAGGCTAGTAGAGACACTGGCAACCAACAAGACAAATCACAGACACTGTTGACGAGCTCTAGACCTTACAGGCCTCAACGCCTCGACCTTGAAACAATAGACCCCCTAAACCCCAAACCCCAAACCCTAAACCCTAAACCCTAAACCCTAAATCCTGTTCAGTTCTAAGCGCCTACAGGGCTCGAGACGAACATCCCAGGTCACCAACCTCAGAATCACCGTACAAGGAGGGGCCCTTGTTGTAAGAGCGAACAGGGGCCTGACGTTGGGTTTAGAAAAGAGGTTTATAGGGTTTTGGGTTTAGGGTTTAGGGTTTAGGGTTCACTATCATTCCTGCACTTCGAAACCCGAAACCCTAAACCCTACGCTCCTTTATCTACAGTTGGTATAGTAAGTGGGCGACTTTCTGCAGGAGCTCGCATCATGGCGAGACGAATCTTCTGCCTCAGGTTTCGCTCAAAAAAAGGATTCACAGGGTGTTCGGTGCTTAGGGAGCTAAACCCTAAACTGCCCCTTCTGGTGGTGTTTTGTATAGGGACTCGAAAGGGAACCTAATTAGAGAACTACCCAAGAGTTTAGCAACGTAGGTTATAACCTGTAGCCAGTGTCCCCACTGGCTAGTTCTTAGTAGGGAATGAGGGAATGAAGTACCCTAAATAATCCTGTAAAGGGTATATTTGGGGCCCTAGTTCCCTCATTCCGTACTATAAACGAGTGGGCCTACGTAGGACGCAACTGCAAGGGCATACCCTTTCTTCCTTGGAAAAACGCAGCCAGCAATGCACCAACATGTGGCTTGGCTCCAGGTTACGGCACATCATGAGACTCACCGCCGCAGCTGCAGTAAGGCATTAGCAGTAGGGTGGCCGGATACATCGAGACACCAATACTGGATCTAACAAGCCAGCTCCCGCACAGGGATACTTGGGAATCATGTTTGGGTACTATATTTCTCAAGGCACAGCTAAAATTCTAATTTTGGCTAAGGTTCCAAGTTTAGTATAGTTTGCTGCCGGGTGAACCGCGCGTGGACCTCGCAAAAACAGTGTTGACATGCGCTGAGAGGAACATAGCCACAGGCGCGACATTTGCCACATCGTCTTGAAGCTCTACAAAGAGGGGCCCCCTTACTATACTAACTATCGTTAAGGGACTTGTATCCTAAGTTAAGACCCTTATAACCCAATGTAGGGTCCTTATAACTCTACTTGTAACTGCGGGGGCCCCTCCTTACAGACTCTAAACCCTATAACCCTGAACCCTATGATCCTGCTCCACCTGAGTTGCCCCTGAACCGGGGTGCTTGTTTTTGTAAGCCCGACTCCTCACCTGGAGGTTCACGAGCGGTTGATATGTTGAGGTTAGGGCTTAGAAGCTGTGAGGACCCCAGATTAAGAACCAATTACAATCCATGGTTCATTACTCTGTGTCGAACCGCCTCTTGTAACCACCCATGAACCTCCGAGAAAACCCTACACCCCTCAATACTTCTAAGCCCTCAACTGCAGGCCCTACATTCCCTGGATGCTCTTGCACCACTTTCTTTGGGATATCGTGTTTGGGGGTTTAGGGTGTCGCGTTGGGGCAACATACGAAGTACCAAACACCCTGAGCACAAGTTTTCTGAACAAGGGGGCCCTGCTGCAGGTTGATGCAAGTGCAGCTATATGGGAGGTTCTCTACATGATACAACTTATTAGAGAATCCCCCTTGTTCAGGGCAATTCTCGTTGCACCCTGAACTGGTTCCAACCTGCTGGGGCAGCCTGACTTCTAACCCTGAACCTTCTAGTGCTTCCTGTGGCCCCAGGCCTACTTCCGAACCAAAAGGCCCCACACGTAGGGTTGACGGTTTAGGGTTTAGGGTTAAGGGTTCTGGTCTCCAAGGGGTTTCAAAAGGGTTTAGGGTTTAGGGTTTAGGGTTTAGGGCCCGTGTCTTCACATGCTGAGATGGAATCTGCCACTCTCCCCTCAGGATGTTGCGCAACGCTCCCTAGCTGACGGCGCACTCACCCAACCCTGGGCTCAAGACCTCGTTAGGGTTTAGGGTTTAGGGTTTCGGGTTTAGGGTTTAGGGTTTAGGGTTGTCCTGGTTTAAAACGGGTTGAGGCAGAAGGGTTCAGGGGCAGAGTTGTAAGCCCAGATCAGGTTGGAACTATAGCTAGCTGCAGGACCCACGCAGAGCTACCCAAGAACCTGCAAGCACCTAAGTGAGTGGAACCACAGCTCCCGACACGAACTGGCTGCCAATTGGAGAACGATAGCTGCCCCAACTATTTTGTATAGCCCCTACAAGGAGGGGCCTCCCTCGTCATAAGTAGAGTTATAAATAAGGATCCTAAATCGGGTGACAAGGATCCTGACTTAGGTTATAAGTCCCTTAACTAGAGTTAGTGGAGTAAGGGGGCCCCTACGCATAGCAACCCGAGACCCGAGAACCTCCTAAACACTCTGTCTAAGCCTCAAAGCCCACAACTCTAAATCCGATGGGCCCCGTATACACTTGCACCGCTACAAACTACTGAAGTAAACCACTGTTGGGGTTTGGGGCGTAGGCTGCGTGGAGTTTCCAGGTGTGAGACAAAGCCTGCAGCAAAGCTCAGAAACTTCAAGCTCTAGCCCTAAACCCTAAACCCTAGACCCTGATTCCTAACCCTCAAAAACCTGCTACAGAACCACTTCCAAGCCCCGATAACCCCCCTCCCCCCCCCCCCTCCCCCCCCCAAACCTACCCTAAACCCTAAACCTAAACCCTAAACCCTAAACCCTAAACCCTAAACCCTAAACCCTAAACCCTAAACCCTAAGCCCTAAACCCTAAACCCTAAACCCTAAACCCTAAACCCTAAACCCTAAACCCTAAACCCTAAACCCCAGCCCTGAAATGCCTGTAGGGTGGGGCTTTGCAGGTGCCCTGGCATGGCCGACTCCTCTCTGCAGAGCGCGAACCTCAGCACCCTGCGGCTCAAGGGGCTTTAGGGGTTTAGGGTTTAGGGTTTAGGGTTTAGGGTTTAGGGTTTAGGGTTTAGGGTTTAGGGTTTAGGCCTAGGGGCTTTAGGGGTTTTAAGGTTTGAGCTTAGGGTTTCTTAGGGGCTTTTGGGTTTTTCAGATGTGAAACAGGGCTGTTTGTGGGGTGGGGGAGGGGGGGGGGGTGGGGAAGGACGGCAGGGCAGGTTATTTTCGGGTTCTGGGGTGATTCAGGGTTCTGGTGCTCAGGATATTATAGGGTGCGGGTTCAGAAGAGGGTTTCGTGCTCGAAAATTATACATGTTTGTTCTTTTTTGGGTGGGTTTAGGAGTTTACCTCGAGGAAAGCGATCTGCGATAGAAAGCGTACGCAACTGAGTTTCCTTGAGTTCTTGGGCACGTCGATCTAGGCTTCTGGCCCTGAGGAGACCCTAAACCCTAGTAAAATCCTAAGCCCAAGCAGGGGATTACATGGTTTAGTCAGTGTCTGCATCGCCGTTCCTCAAGCCGCCGTGGCACCCGACTGCGCAGCATACGTCACAAGTGCCAGGGAGAGAGCAGGTTGCACGTTTACGAGGCAGCCGATAGAACAAGGACCTTACATGCAGCCAGCATACCCGAACATTGCAACAAAGACACCGTGTGGGTGCATCCCAGGATATTGCAGCCCCATGTTGGGGCCATGGGTGGCTCCATATCACATCGTCGCTGCTGGCAGTGCAATGATGTCGTGGGCGTAGCCACCTACGATGCCCTCGGCGAGGACCCCGTGAAGCGGGAGACCGAGCCCAGCGCAAGCGCCAGCAGCGTGAACAACACCAGCAAAGCGCCTCTGAAGACTTTCTACACCGTGACCGGCTCACCTGCCTCTGAGGGTAGTGCACCCGGTTCCCAACCCGGTTCCCAGGGCAGCTTGTTGTCAAGAGGAGCAGCTTGCAGCTCGGCGTACAAGGGCAGAACGGGGAGGACCTTCTCCGAAGTCTCGCTTTCGGATGGCGACGAGGACAACGACTCCGAGTGTTTAGTTGTGAGCCAGACGTCTATAAGCTCTGCTGCGTCAAGCGCAAGTTCCCGATCATCCACCAGTCCCTTGGGGGCGAAATTAGCCACATCACTGCGTCATGAAACCTACGCCGCCTTTGCACATATACGTATATGTTTTTACAGTATGTGGAACCCTGACCCTACACGTTAAACTCTTTTAATGGTTCGTTTTTGGCCCTTGTAAGGACATTCCCATCGTCGGTTGAAACTGGTGGAGACCATGGGCCATATTCCCTCGATAGCCTTGCAGCTTGTGATCAACAACCCCAGTTCCTCGGTGTCCCAGGTAGTGTTTAGGGTTCAGCGTTTAGGGTTTGGGCCACAGGGTTTAGGGTTTAGGGTGGTACCCTTTGCACTTTTCGGGCTTGGACCCCTTACAAAAGTACCTACAACCAAGCAAACCCAAGAAAGGGTACCCTTCTCTGGTAATTTTCCTGGATTCCCCCCCCTCTATACTACCCTATAGGCCATTAATTAAGGCCTTTCAAGGGAAAGGTTATTGAAAGGGGGGAACCTGGTGGAGACTGGGCGACCGCCAGGTCCACTGGACTCCATTTATAAAGTCGAAAAGGAGCTTGGCAAAGGGGCCTTCGGAATCGTCCGGCTCGGGCGCGTGCGAATCACAGGCGCAAAGAGGGCCATCAAGACGATCAGCAAGGAGATGATGAAGGACCGACCTGGTAGCCCAGCGGTACCCTTTTGCCCCTTTTGTTGGGTTACTGTTAACTTAACCCTAAACCCTAAACCCTAAACCCTAAACCCTGATTACTGGGCTGGAGGAGCAGACCGGCTCACTCAAGATGGAGATTGAAATCATGAAGATGCTGGATCACCCAGGTGGGGTTTAGGGTTTAGGGTTTAGGGTTTAGGAGGGTTTAGGGGGGTTTAGGGGGGTTTAGGAGTTCGGGGTACCTTACTAGGGTCCTTACTATAAGGGAGGCCTACTATCTGGGGCATCTATATTATAGGGGGCTCCCCCACTTTCGTCAACCCCCCCAGGTGTCGTCATGCTCTTCGAGATCTTTGAAGATGATGACGTACACCTGTCCATGGAGATCTGCGAAGGAGGTTGTCTGACGGACCGTGTCAAAGCGGCACCGCACGGACAGCTGCCACAAAAGGAGCTGCATGTGGTGATGCGCCAGATAGTTGCTGCCGTGAACTATTTGCACGAGCTGAACATTGTCCATCGAGACTCTAGGATGCAGAGTGGGCCCTGATTCGTTTTCCTTGCTTTTTCGTGGGTGGGTGTGGGGGGGGTGGGCCCGGGTGTGGGTGGGTGGGTGAGTGGGTGGGTTCCCTTATACCCGAAGCCGAAACCCCTAAACCCCAAGTTCCCTGCCAGACCCCAAGGAGTTTAAACCCAAAGAAGTTGGCCCTTTTCCTTCTAAGCTACCCTTGGGCCGAAGGACATCAAGGCCGACAATATCCTCTCGAAGGTCCATCCGACAGAGGCTTTGCGCAGGACATCTTCTTGGCAGCCCAGTGGTACTCTTTTCACTTTTTTTGGGTTCAAGGTGGCCTTATACAGTAACCAACCGCAAAGAAAGTGTCCACATTAAAATATGGCTATATACTGGGCTGCCAAGTCTTGCAAGAGAGGCATTCGGAAACCGCTGGTTTTCTTTTCAGTCGAGCAAAAACTGGTTGATTCTTATTTGGTAAAACCAAATCCGAGTGTGTTCGCAGGACATCTTTGAAAGTTTCTGACTTCGGCCTCTCGCGGATTGTGGAGGAGGGTGAGTACCTCTCAACTATGGGGGGAACGCCCAGCCACATGGCGCCAGAGGTATTCGAGAGGTACTACAATCACAAATGTGACCTGTGGAGCTGTGGCGTTGTGATGTACTACCTGATTGCCGGAGAGCTGCCCTTCAAAAACGAGGCTGAGGTCAAGAAGGGAAAGTACAGAATGACACATCCTGTGCCTCGGGGACGAAACGAACCCTAAAATTGGGGGGGGGGGGGGGGGGGGGGACAGAGTACCCTATACGACTATAATCCCAATTAATTAAGGTCTCTGAAGCCCTAAACCCTAAACCCTAAACCCCTGGTCCTTAAGGTGTGGGACAGCATGCCGACGCAGCCGGTCGCCTTCCTCAGCACGCTGCTTTGCAGGCGAGCATCCAGTCGCTATTCTGCAAAGAAACTTGGCTTTAGGGTTTAGGGTTTAGGGTTTAGGGTTTAGGGTTTAGGGTTCAAAAAAAAGGGTTTGAGCTTCAAACCTTTTGGGTTGTTGAAGAAGCTACAAGAAGGAGCCTGAGAGCTAAGCTTCTAGGAGGGGAGTCAGAAGTCAGCCAAGATTATTACTATCAGTATTCCCCTATGGTCCCTTCATAAATATACTACAATAACCATACTACATATATAATATATACTGCAATAACCATACTATACATATATATATAAGCGTTTAGGAGGGGAGTTCAGAAGTCAGCACCAAGGAAAGCCCTGCGGGATGAGTGGCTTTTGAATAGCAAGGCCACGCCGGTCACGCACACACGTCTCATGGAAGCTATCTCCCCCTTGGGAATCATTTTTATTTTTGTTTATATACAACCCAAGTGGATATTAAGAAATACTTTTTTCTTAAGGTTCTAAGTGGAGTATAGGAAGAGTTGCACACCTTCCGCTCCTTCAACAAGTTCAAGCGCGCGGTGATCTGTACTGCAGTCAGTATGCTGGCAGACCATCAGATCGCGAGCAGCCGGGAGCTCTTCATCAGCTTAGACGCCGACAAGGATGGCAAGATCTCCGCACAAGATTTGAAGCGGGCGGGCGGCCGCGCTTTGGGCATGGGAGACAATCCTGTCTCCTCACTGCAGGTCAAAGATGCCGTCGCCGACCGCTTTGAACAGCTGTCACCTAGTCGTCCATTTGGCTACACGGAGCCTTTGTAGCCCAAGGGTACCTGTTTTTTGCACTTTTTTTGTGGGGTTCACGGTTCCCTTGCAAACAAGTCGCCAGCCCGAAAACGTACTTCTACATCATCGCATGGTTGTTGCTAAGCCCTTAGCCGTAAACCCTTAACCCTAAAACCCGAACGTCGGGGCTACCAAGGAGTTCCTGGCAGCCACGGTGGACCCCAACTGTTACATGAACACCAAGCTCCTTAGTAGCTGAATGAGTACACTTTACACCGTTTTGGGAACCCTAAACCCTAAACCCTAAACCCTAAACCCTAAATCCCCTACAGAGCTGCAGCGAAGGCTCCTTAAAGCTGCCTTCAACTATTTCGATCGCGACCACGATGGCCACATCTCGTTGTCAGCGCCTTGGGTGTAGGGTTTAGGGTTTAGGGTTTAGGCTTTAGGGTTTAGGCTTTAGGGTTTAGGGTTTAGAGTTTAGGGTTTAGGGTTTAGGGTTCCGGAGCCTTGAAGTGGCCCAGTGGTACTCTTTCCTTTGCCTTTTTTGGGTTCATGGTGCCCTTATAAAGTACCCAAACCCCAAAGAAGGGTGCGCTGATTAAAGATCATGGTTGCTCCGCTACCCCAAACCCTGAACTCTGAACTCTAAACTCAGCCCCTCAACCCTAAACCCTAAACCCTAAGGAGCTTTCCAGTGGCCATCTCTTGGGAACGCTGTCGATGGAAGAGCTGCATGAGATCATGACGTGGTGTGATGAGAACCTTGAGGTCCAAGTGAGCCCTAAAGTTGGGGGGGCCAATCTCCCTAGGCTGCTAGAATCCCGATTAAGGTATCTGAACCCTAAACCCTAAACCCTAAACCCTAAACCCTAAACCCTAAACCTTTGGTTCATGTGGTCCTTAAGGAATGGGGACATGCAGATCGAGTTCAAAGAGTTCGAGTCCATGATGATGTCCGAAGCAGAGCACTGAAAGCTTTATAGGGTTTAGGGTTTCGGAGGCCCTCCGGCAAAAAAGTATTGAGGGTTCAGGGTTTAGGGTTTATAGGGTTCAGGTACCCTGTGCAGACGACTGCTGAAGCACGCATGCCTGGGGGTATTCTATCTTCTTGGTGGATCGGGGGACTTTAAGGTACCCTGTGTCTTATCCTACTCCAGAACCCCCCTGAACCCTAAACCCTAAACCCTAAACCCTAAACCCTAAACCCTAAACCCTAAACCCCAAGCAGTAAAGCACTATCTGCACTCCCTGAGCCTCCCGATCCGGCAAGCTTCTCACAGGAGATGGCAGGCAGATGTCACATGTCTTGCTTGGGTTCTTCCTGCGAGCATGTGGGGCCAACGCGCACCCAATATGATTCACGAAGCTTTGCAGGTTAAACCTGCCCAGCCTAGAGTACACAGTCTACTCCAGAAGCTTGATTCAGAATTCGTTGCAGGGATAGCCGCGCGCGATGTCATCGGCATCGCTGGTTGTGGCTGTTCTTGTCGCGCTTTGGGACTTGATCCAGATCTCCATTGGCTACGGCACGCCGCCGGCAAGAAGGAGTTGTATGGTTCAGTTCCAGACGCCCCGCAGCGTTTTGGCTGCGGATTTTAGCGAGGCACACATGACTTGCCGATTCTTAGTAGGGAATGAGGTACCCTACATATTCTCTCAAAGGTGTGTGTGTGTGTATGTGTATATAAGTAAATATATATATATATATATATACATGTATGCATTTATACATGTATACAAAGTATAAAGCGCCTAGTTTCTTCATTCCCTACTAAGAAACAGCAGGACGACGTTGCATGACCGTGGTTACAGTGAAAAAAGCATGCGCTTTGAGACACGTTGGCCTCAGAGGGCCCGATGAATCTACATAGCATTGCACTTCAGCATATATACTATGTGCCCTTTGTTGCATTGCACGCCAGCATTTACATATGTATATATATATATATATATACAGAGATACGTGTATATATATATACATATTATATATATATATATATATGTCATATGTGAGAATGAATACACTGTATTGTGTTCTATGTATGTAATGTCTTGTTTTCTGTATTTTTTATGCTGTAAATGTATGCAGTTGCATATTACATATTTTGCACAAAGTCTCTAGTGTGCCGTCGTCAGGGTCTTGCTTCGGGGGATGCCTGCTGTGGCGACATCGCGCTGTTTCATTCTGGGGGCTGCGCTGATAGGTTTAGGGTTTAGCGTTTAGGGTTTAGGGTTTAGGGTTTAGGGTTTAGGGTTTAGGGTTTATAGGTGTACTGTGGTAGAGGGTATGCCTTTCACACTCTACTGCGCTCCTACCTTCTGCCTTTGCGAGTGGGAGAGTCGAAGGCCTTTAACACCTAATCCATATTGCAGGAAATCCCAGAAGGGTGAAAGGTACCCTAAGCCCTAAACCCTAAACCCTATACCCTAAACACCCTAAACCCTAAACCTTAAACCCTAGACCCTAAACCCTAAACCCTAAACCCTAAACCCTAACCCCAAACCCGTGTTCAGGCTACTGCATCATCCACCCTCAGAGCCTGCTGAACGACTCCAAGTTCCAGTATGACACAAATTGGGTCAAAATCGAGGCCTTCTAGGGTCCTTAAGGGAGAGTTTAGGGTTTAGGGTTTAGGGTTCAGGGTTTAGGGTTTAGGGTTTAGGGTTTAGGGTTTAGGGTTTAGGGTTTAGGGTTTGGGGGGGGGGGGGGGTACATAACCTAAGGTTCCCCAGGACTGCCCACTACTCCCTAAGGCCAAGCTTGTTTGGGGTTCCCTAGGTACCTACCCCTCCCTTAAGAACCCTAAACCCTAAACCCTAAGCTATCACAAAGTTCCCCGAAGAGCCCCTAACCTTTCAGGGTTTAGGGTTTAGGGTTTAGGGTTCAGGGTTTAGGGTTTAGGGTTTAGGGTTCAGGGTTTAGGGTTTAGGGTTTTGAGTCCCCGAACCAGACCACCCCGAAGAAGCGAAGAGGGAGTCTGAAAAGTGGGGGGCGGGGGGGGGGGGCCTAATGTATCCCCCTCCCTAAACCCTAAAGCCTAAACCCTAAACCCTAAACCCTTTTTGAACCCCAATAACACCCCTGCAAAGGATGCCAACACAGGGTACCCCTACTTTCGGAAACAACCCTCAATGAGGCAGCCCCAAAAGACTGGACCTTTCTGACCCCAAGCCTCCTTCAGCCCGTAGAAACCTCTTCAACTCTCGGGGGGGGGGGGGGGGGGGGGGTGGGGTTTAGGGCTTGGAGTAACCTGTTGTGCCCTTAACGAGGGTCGTGCGCCATAGTCATCGGAAATTCACCCCTTTTTGAAGGCACAAGGTGCCTAGACTATCTGGGCGTCCTACCTTGGACCCTCAAGGTCGTACCCTTGGGTTTTGGGGCCCTTTTTCAGGATCCCTAAGGGAAAACAGGAGTGTATTAAGGGTAACCTTCGGGGATACCACCTTAGGGGTACCAGCCTTCACTCCTTGAGACTCATCACTTGTTCCCTTAAGGATCAGGGTCCTGTACCAGAAATATCGGGGAAGTTACACCCTTTTCAAAGGCAAGAAGGTGAACCCAGAGACGTGTGCATGCCATCCTAAACCCTAAACCCTAAACCCTAAACCCTAAACCCTAAACCCTAAACCCTAAACCCTAAACCCGCCGAGAGGTGCCCACAAGCGACTCCTCGGGTGATCCCTACCTCGAGGAGCAAAGTGTGGAGCAAGGCCGCTGTCTTGGTTTAGGGTTCTAGGGTTCTAGGGTTCCAGGGTTCTAGGGTTCTAGGGTTCTAGGGTTAAGGGTTATAGGGTTCTAGGGTTCTAGGGTTCTAGGGTTATAGGGTTATAGGGTTCTAGGGTTCTAGGGTTCTAGGGTTCTAGGGTTCTAGGGTTCTAGGGTTCTAGGGTTCTAGGGTTCTAGGGTTCTAGGGTTCTAGGGTTCTAGGGTTCTAGGGTTCTAGGGTTCTAGGGTTCTAGGGTTAAGGGTTGGGTTATAGGGTTATAGGGTTTAGGGTTTAGGGCTTAGGGTTTAGGGTTTAGGGTTTAGGGTTTAGGGTTCGGAAAGGCTCAGGACTTCCCCTCAGACTCTACAGGACTCAACAGGGTGTCGCTTCGGAATCATCGGGAAGTCTACCCCCGCCTTTTTTTGAGGATAGGGAAGTTACTCTAGGCAGGACTTTGGGTTGAATGTTTAGGGTTTGGGGTTTAGGGTTTAGGGCTAGGGTTTAGGGTTTGGGGTTTGGGGTTTAGGGTTTAGGGCTTAGGGCTCAGGGTTTACTCCGTCGGTGGCTTTTAGGGACCCTGGAGCTAAACCCCCCCCACAAACACTCCTGAGACCGACGTCAGCCTGAAAGTCCAACTCGAACCCCCCCCCAAAGGAAGATGTGTAGGGTTTAGGGTTTAGGGTTTAGGGTTTAGGGTTTAGGGTTTAGGGTTTAGGGTTTAGGGTTTAGGGTTTAGGGTTTAGGGTTTAGGGTCCCGTAGCCCCCTATTCCCCACTCGGTGTGGGGTTGTTCGATGTTTGGGTCGCCCAGATGCGGCGAATTATCCGAAATGGTCCGCCTGAAAAAATGGCTGGATGGCTCCCACATCAGGTACATGCAAGGGCCCCCTGGTTATTAATAGGATTAGAAGGGCCCTAAATTGGGTTATAAGTATTACTATGTAGGTTATAACTCCCTTAGCTAAGGTTAGTATAGTAAGGGGGGGCCCTACTTGTAGCTTTCGGATATGGATGATCGAAGTTTGCCTTTTGGGGGGGGGGGGGGGGGGGGCTGAAGATGGCATCTTCTTGGAGCAGCTGGGATTTACCTACAGTAGCCTCTGTACTTTCAAAACGGGTAATGGGTAATTCAGCTGTTTAGGACAACATACCCTTTCTGAATGTGCAAGGTTATTCCTCTTGGTAGGGCTAAACCCTAAACCCTAAACCCTAAGCCCCAAGCCCTAAACCCTTATAAGGTTTAGGGTGGAGTCAGGCGCCGCGGAGGCAGATGTCATCGACTTTGACCACGTGTGCCTTGGCTGCCGGTTTAGGGTTTAGGGTTTAGGGTTTATAGTTAGGGTTTATAAGGTTTATAGGGTTTATAGGGCTTATAGGGTTTGTAGGGTTTATAGGGTTTATAGGGTTTGTAGGGTTTATATGGTTTATAGGGTTTATAGGGTTTATAGGGTTTAGGGCGTGAGTCTCAGGAGTCCGGAAAGAAAAGGGTACAAGTTCCTGCAAGTTACAGAACCCAACCCAAAAAATCACTGGCACAGGTCGTAGGGCTTGCGGAGGGCTGGCGTGCTTTGCCCTAAACCTAAAACCCCAAAGCCCATAAACCCCCAACAAACCCAAAAACCTACATCCAACGCAGCAGGTTCCCGCCGAACACGCCGCAGGACCTGCTACCCCCTGTTTCCCACTCGGGAGCGCCGACCCCCCGCATAGAGCTTCTGGGCCCTTATAAGTTGCAAGTGATATTTGTTTGTGAAACGATTAGGAGAGTATAGGTTCGTGGGCGCGATATGAAAATTTGAGTTGAACAATTACCCTAAACCCTAAACCCTGAACCCTAAACCCTGTTCTACCGCAGGACGGCGGGGTTCTGCTGCAGGAAGGGTTAGTGGGTTTGGGTTCTGCCTCTGCCGGAAAAGGTCTACAGATTTGGGGTTTAGGGTTTAGGGTTTATATAGGGTACCCCTCTCTGTGTACATTTGGCCTTATGTCATAGCACGTCTGCACTCATTGCTCCTTTGCCCACACCCGCAGGACCAAATATTCCGTGACGTAGCAGCCAGCTCAGCTCAAGAGTGTGGGTTTAGGGTTTAGGGTTTAGGGTTTAGGGTTTAGGGTTTAGGGTTTAGGGTTCAGGGTTCAGGGTTCAGGGTTTCATTGCATACGATGTTATACGGCGTCCACGACTTCGGGACTTCGGGCCTAAAGTCCTAAAGTGTCACAAGTATAAGCTTGAACCCGCTGAAGCCCTTCACCCAAAGCGGTGCGG